TCTGTAGATGTTATGCAGTATTGCTGATTGCTGTCTCACGTTTGTTTCTATTTCACTGGAGGAGCACTGAGGCTACAGCTGTCGTATTTTGTCTGTTGAAGGTGTCCTAAATGTGTTTCCCAGGCAGAGAAGTTCTAAAAGATTAGCTCACTTGACCTTTCCCTGGTTTTAACAGTAAAGGGCTTGGACATGGCCAGAAAAAGCTCAGCCTAGAAGTCTTTAATGCAGCCCAATCTTGTAGTTTATTACACTCTCATTTTATTAAAGAAAGAGGGAATGTTTAATAGACATGGCAAAAGAAAGAGGTAAAAGAACAGGAAACATGCATCACATCTTCATTAAGTGATCTGGCAGAGCATTTTATTGCTAGTGCTGGTCTCCTGAGTTGTGCACTTCACATCACAAGATTGTCAGTGCTTATGTTGGCTAAATAACAAAGCACTCCCCTGGCATCAGTAGTATGAAATACTACGTTTGCTTTTCCTGTTGTTATGATAAGAAGATGTTATTTCCTATCAACTTTGGATTTTTAAAAGTTCTCATGAACATATTTTTATACAAAAGAACATAAGTTTCATTTAAAACAGTTTTTAATTTACTAAAACTGAAACCCTCTTTTGTTTGTGGGAAAGGTCTGGGGTTTCTTTCCACTTTTATTGTTAATTGTTACAGTTTCTAATGGAAACTCCTGAACTTTGTTGTCTTAGATGTCACTGGTGCCAGTTGAAACAACTACCTGTTTTAAAAGTGATATGATCTCTTTATCACTTTCTGGTAACCAGAAAACCCCCACATTGAGCATAGCCATTTTGCCAACCTTCAGCTCCTCTGCCCTGCTAAGTTTTTAGCTATGTTCCATGGGAGAAGTTGAGCCAAATTATTATGGAAACCTCTGTCTTGCCTTCAAGGTTTATCTGTTTCTTTTCTCTTTCAGAAAAACCTGAAAATGGTAATGAAAACAGAATTTCTGTCGAGAAGGTTTCTCTTTCAGAAACAGAGCTCCTTTGTTAGCAGAATGTTTTTGGTAAAACATTTCAAATCTATCACATTGCCCAAAGCAATCACATGCCCAAAGCTCCAACATCTTTGTCACAGTGTCAGCTCCTTTCCGACTGTCACAAGGTTGAGGTTGGTCTGGCAGTCACTTGTTGCTACTGAGGTTCTGGACCCATGTGGAGTACTGACTTCTCCTATCTGTGCAAAAATAGTTTGAAATTGTGCACCTGTTCCCCACCTCCTATATTGTTGATTTTTGTGTAGTAAATTACCTAAATCGTAGACCAGGATAAGATCTGCTTTTTGTAATTTTCACAGATCTAAAGTCTCTTCAACTTGGGAATTGTTTTGGGTGAAATAGTACTAATAAAAACAGCAGCAGCACATATAGTATATATTTAGTAGAATCACAGAATCACAGAATTGTAGGGGTTGGAAGGGACCTCCAGAGATCATCGAGTCCAACCCCCTGCCAAAGCAGGTTCCCTACAGTAGTATAAAGAAACCAGAACAAAATGTATTTCCTCTGCCATAATCCTGAATTATTAGTATTATTTTTTAACTTCTTTCCATACTGAATCTAAGAAGATTTTTGTAACTTAGAATAGAGTGGTAATTTGAGCAGGATGTACATACCTCTATCTCTATCTTTTCTTTACATTTTTTTCCCTGCTAATATATTCTGTGGGTTGTCAGTATGAGAAAAATTACCCCATGTTGACAACAAGAAGGAAGTAATTGTGACCTAGCTGCACAGGCAAGACTTACTGCACAGCCCAATGGCAAAAGCACTTATTAGTGGGGAAGGACTGTTCCTGTATACTTGGCATTCTGCTCCCAAGACTCCTGTTTTACCTGCTGTCATTGTATATAAAAAATAAAGAGCCCTGCAGGCAAGAAATACAAGCAACTCTCCCAATTCCAGATAAGTACTCTAAGTACTCTAAGGCTGTATTTCTGCTTCTGCTCTCTTTTGGACTTAGAAAATGCTATTTTTTTTTTTTTTTTTTTTTTTTTTCTTTTTTCTTTTTTTGGTGGTAACGCAGCTTCAGAAAGAAGCTCTCCCTTTTGGTATCCTAGATGGTACGAGGGGAGGAATGGATGAATACCTAGGTAGATGTCAGAAAAGTAAACTGAAACTTATTTCTCTGTTTGTGGTGAATGCCTTTATCACAGTAGTCAACAAAAAGGCTAATCTCCATTTGGGAGATGCTTCTGGCCACTACCCTGTTTTGAGGAGCCCACTTCTGCCAGATGTAGCTCAGAGCTTGCTTGGCAGATACTGTGGAGGTACACCTGTAGGCAAACTATGTTTCTGATTCAGTTTAGGCATAAGCTGAGTAGCAAGCCTGTTAGCACGGGTCTGTTAGCAAAACATGGTGGCTGTGTTTGTTGCCATTGCAGTACTATGTCTTTCAGGCATTTAAGGCACTGATCAATTGTCCTGCCAAGGACTGCATTAAGGGACACATACTAAATAACTTTATTTCTATCTGTGCTGCAGGCTTTTGTCTTTCACACTGTTTCAGCACCACATAAAATGTCTAAGAGAGCACCGCATCCATCTCTTGCAACGTGCCATCTGTGGGTAATGACTTTTCTCAGTCCCTATTCTGGCTGAGCCATATGCTCACTCTACCAGCAATTTCACCTATACCTAAGGAAGAAGCCAGACAGTGGCATGCCATTGTGGATGCTAGCAAACTGAGTTCTCTTTCATGTTTACTAAGCTCATTTTGTCCAGCAGTCTCACCAAACAGTGCACCCATCAAGTTTGGCTGATGAGCAGGTTTGAGTCTGATCTGGCATCCCCATCCACATGCCAAAGAGGCAGAGTTTTTGAAACTCTCTATAATAATGTCACATGAGATTTAAAGCACCCTTCTACTGTATCTTGTGATGTGTCCCGTGGTTTAAAAAGCTACTGACAAAGGTATTGTCAAAGTGAGGACATCTGAATTGTGTTAGAAAGAGCAAGTGATTCTGAGGTTTCAGTAGTGAAATCCCAAACAGGACCTTATTGTGATGCCCCTGAAACTACTACAAGGGGAAGACATGGTGAGAGTAATATCACGGTTACTGTTGTGTTCTGGTTAGGAAGCCCACATACTTCCATGTAAGTGAAAAATGCACCATTAGGATTTTATACACTGAAATTCCATTTGAGAGGTCCATGCAAATATGTCATCATCTAGATTCATCATTAACTTCTGTAGATTTTTTCCACGCCTAAGGGATAAAAAAAAATTTTGTTTGATATGGTACAGGTCAATGAGTTAACAGAAGAGAGGGCAGAGTGGTAGCAAGGTAGATAGCTCATGCCACATGAGCCAACAGCTTCCTCCCATGTAGAAGTGTTCCTTCTGTTCTTCTCTCCTACCTGCAGCACAAGAAAGATGAGTATCACACTCATTCAGGAGGATAACATTTAAATATTGCCTGCTGCATGATAATTTTTCACGTATCTGTATACTGTGCCAGATGGTTAGCTGATAAAAGTCAGAATAAATTCACTGATTGATAAACACCAGGTTTGTGGTTCAACCTTTATTTGTTTTAATTGTTAACATTTATCATATTTATTAACCTCAGCATACAGACCTTTTTCATGGCTTACATATGGGATGATTTTTGTACTGTGAGGACCAATTCTGCTCTCAAGTACACATAGGCCCATCTTGTAAGTGAGGACTGAATATGGCTATTATGTGAAAACTGTAATGTTTTATGTCAGATGCCCACATATGATAATACTTTGATTGGTATTCTTAGGGCCATGCTTACTCCTTCTGTTTCAGTTATAAATATTACAAGTGGATATTTCAGTAAAATTTTGGGTTTGTAACAATGTAGTAAAATCAGTAAAATCAAGTAGATGCGTAATAAATTCTGACAAGCACAGAAAGTCAGTTGCTGCTCAGTAGAGTTCTGTTTTGCTGCTCAGAAAGAGTATCACAATGATTGGAAAAATATTGAACCAAGTTTAAACTTCAATAATTGTGCTGCCAGGAAAGCAGATTTTTGTATCTTTAGTGCAATAGGCTGGATTGTCAAGAATGAGTAGACAATGGGTTTGCAAAGGAATCATAAAGCTGACATTACTAGAGAGATGTTCATAAATTGTTGCAGGAGCTGAGCAAGAAGAGAATTCTGTTTTGTTGCTTTTATTTATTATTTTTTACTAGTGCAGAAATACCTGAGAACCATATACTGATGTAGGAGTGAAGGTTGATGCTTCTCCGCTTCCTTCACTTTTATGCCCCTAAAAGTCCTTCCCAAAATACAATAAGAGAGCTGATGGGCTGCCACTGCATCTTTTTGAATTGCAGTTGCCCAAAATGGCTTAGCAGCATTTGGAAGCATTCAGGTAGATCATCTGGCTCCAGAGCAGCTTATTCCATGGTTTTCTGTACCCTTTTTTTCTCAAACTTGTATCCTTTTGTATCCTGGTCCTTTTTGGCTCAAATCTCTCTCCTTTAAGAAAGAGACTGAGGAATTTACAGTAAAGTCTAGCTGGGACTAAGTACAAGAAAGCAAGGGCATAGGAAGGAGAGAGCATGATGTCAATTCAGGAACAACAGTAAGGTTCATGTAACTTTGCCCAATCTTCGTGAGCCTCTATGTAAAACAAGTTTTATATTTAAATGAATATTGTTAAGCCTTGTATTTTCCAGCATATCAGGAGAAAATAAAACTTCTCTGTGATTGGTTTGTAAAGCTAGTTTTTATGGAGGTTTTATAACTAGTTTCTTAAAGTTTGATATGTTTATTTTTCTCAAGAGTTTTGTGTTAGGAGATCTGTACGATGACTAGTAGCTATCTTCAGACAGATAGCAGCATATTGACAACACTTGACATGGGCTGCATCCTGGAAATACAGATTCCAGAATTTTGCTATACTTCAGTTTGATTAAGCCTGTACAAATAACAAATGAAAACAGAAAAATATTCTCTCTCACACATAATTAAAAAGCAGATGTTCTCTTTATGTGTTTTTTTTACAGCTGGCAGCATTAGAAAGACAGATCTTCGACTTCCTTGGTTTCCAATGGGCTCCTATCCTTGGCAATTTCTTACAAATAATAGTAGTCATTTTGGGTTTATTTGGAACCATCCAGTTTCGGCCTCGATATATAGTTGTGGTAAGTCTCATTTATTCTCTCTTATTTTTTGCAATTGGTTTTAAATCTTGTCCCATTACAAAACATAATTTTCTTGACATGAAAACACCAAATGTTGTTTCTGTAGAAACTTTGAATGTCTCAATGTTTTTTTGAAAATTGAGGACTAGTGGCACTTCTGAAGTTTTGGAAGCTCTAAGAATAACCTAGAGAAAGCACTGCAGACGTATGACAGTGATACAAGCTCTTAGTAAGTCTTTACACAAGTAGATACCTGGCTAAGTATGAGAACATCTACAATTTAGTTCTAGATAACTTAAATAAAGACAGGAAATAAAAATTGTTTTCAACTTTACAATCAGAATCAACAGCCATTGGAAAAAAATAGGTTATATTTAGATGCATCTTCCTTTTAATAGGCAGAAGCAAATATTAATGAAATTTCTTTGGTCCTATGGGTTACAAAGAAATCTTCTCTTACTTGCATACAACTTCACGAAGCCCTGTATTTACCACTTTCACCCCAAATAGCTGTGAATTTTCTCTGATGCTTGTAACTTGAAGCCTTATAGTAATCCTCCTGTGTTCACAACATAACCAGGAATAAAAATACTTTTCAAAGCTCTGAAGGAAACAGCCGTCAGAAGTGTCCCTCTCACTTCCCTATAAGTTTCTCCTGAATGGATAATTATTACATCTCTGGCTGATGATGTCTGTATCTGGAATATTTCAGTTGTGTTTCCAGTTATGAATTTTAAGAGGCTCAAGTTGTTTGTTTTTGTTTCCTCACAAAAGGGAGAAATAAATGTCTGCTAGAGAAGGCTCATTAAACTAATACTTAAAAAGCTTCATCTCTTCTAGTCAAGCCTGAAATCCTGTAATTCTTGTCATGTCATGTCTTAAAAGACAAAGTGAACAAAAAGTACACCCATGATGTGCTGAAGTTTTTTACATTCCCTAAGCTTCATGAGCAAAGTATAAAAAGATGAAAATGGATTGATGCATTTAATAGCACTGTTGTCTAATACCTGCCATTGGAGCAGCAGTGTATGTACATACAAGTACTGGTGGCCTTTCTGCTTCACATTCTCCATTTTGTATGTAAGGCAAAGAAAACAAGTGAGGGTAAGCATCTGTAAAATTACCTAAGAAATTGGTTTGTAAAGTGCAACAACACACATCTCTTGCCCTTCAGGTTCAGCTCTGCTTTTCAGACATGGAAGTTCTGCTTTTGCTGTCAGAATGAAGCACAGCAGATGCTGACTGCTTCTCGGTCTTTTCCAATGTAAATGAACGTTTTAGGCTATATAATAATAGACATAATATATATTATATGTTATATACTATAATTATAATATGTATATATTGTATGTATAATATATTAACACAATAATATATAAACAATGACCATATATCATTTATTAATATGATATGTAATACATAATACATAATATAATTTATATTAATTAATATATATATTATATATAGTATAATACAATATATAATATATCATAATAATGCATAATCCTATTTTTGCTCAGTTGCTACTTTCAATCCCTGTACTGATCTATACTTTGCACCAGTGCAAGTGTTCAGATACTTGATAAACTATCAAAGCAGAACAGATCCGGCTGAAAACCAGTGATCTGTTAATTTAAGCACAAGTCAGCTCTTTGCCTTATTTCACAATAAGGCTAGCTCCAGAAGAAGGGAGGAGATGGAGGAGAGAAAATGGGAGCAGGTAGCCAGTGGCAGAGGACAAGAGCACTGATTTCTTTTGCAACAACATAGTCTTAGCCAGCTTAAATTGCTCATTGAGTGATAGCCTGAGGATCTTCCAATAACGGATTCTCCAGAAGCTGTGCTTTCTAGGGCTTAGTCAACTACATCAGGGCTTTGCCAGCAGCAACAGCACAATAGAGATCCCCAGTATGCACAGCAGAAAGCCCTACATGTGCCAGCTCAAAAGTAAAAAGAATCTGAAGGCGTCTTTCCCATGGAAGGACTCAAAGGACTCATACTGCCTCCCTCCTGTTTCTGAAATACCATGAAACTGTGTTCTACCTGGTACAGCAGTAAGCCTTTATCACTGGCTTTAAATGTAAGGTCTGCTTGATTCAAATCTTCATCAGGGTCCTGAATTTCAGAATGTGTTAAGTATGGTGTGCAGAGAGAATCCTACCCAGGTTGAGAAGTGAACTGTGCTCCAAATTCACTGAGAAGCTTCATGGGCTTCCAAGACCGTATCTGCACTTTCAGCCACATCAAAGCCCCCGAATATGTTCATGGTTGATGTTCTACAGTAGAGTGAGAACTTCTGTGAGTTTTGGGAAAAGAAAAATATTGAAAGTAATATGTTGTTTTGTTTGTTTGCTTTTTTTAATGTACTCTGCTATTGATGTTTCTGGTTTAGATTAAGCTAAGTCCACTTTAACTGGAAGAATAACCAAATACTTCAGGAAAAGTATTTTTGATATCCGTTGTCTTTTCCTTAAGACTTCCCTGAAAATCGGCTTTGCTAGTGCATATGATGCCAGCAGTACACCAAACACTGAAGTCATGAAAGAATCATGTCAGATACAACAGTTTACTTCTGTAAACTGGCTACGGAAAATTGATTGGATGCATGTGTGGGTAAACTGTCCCTGTGATATTCTGTCACACTCTGGTAGAGACCTTGAATTAAGCTGAGGAGCTCTGGGGACAGACTACAGCTCTGCAGTCACAACTGAGCAGGCAGTTGTTGGTGCAGGCATTCAGAGCCATTGCTCTCCATGAGGACTGCACTAAAAGCTGAATAAACACAGAAGCAGCTGAATGCTTCTAACTCTCCCACTCTCATTAAAGCCAAGCTAGCTAGTTTAACACTGGCATTTAATGACTACATAAGCTGGAGAAATGTATTTTACATCAGTGTAAGTATTTTGAAGTAAAAGTCTGAGTAAAGAAATTAGTTTTGTTTCTTAGCTTGAATGACAAAAATTTTGGGCAGAACTGCAACATAATGGCTGACTCTTGAAGCATTGCTGACAAATGCTGTTGTAATTCCAAGTAGAAAAAGTAGTGTTTGACTTATTCTACAGAACTTCACATTCAGGACAATACAGGACAGGATGGTGATTCTGAAATAAATATGGAATTTCACTTGGCTGTGTATAAAATTCTGAGTTCTCAGAGAAGCTTGGCAAACACAAAGAGAGGGAAAAAATAGCACTAACCCCAAATGTCCTAATTAGTTTAAATATAATTATTACTACTAGGGTTTTTTATTATTATTTTCTAATTTAGATGAATTGTTGTGAACCATTTGTCCTGTCATTAAGCAGATGTGTTATTTTCAATATTTGGATATTTTGTAGCTAAGTTACGTCAGTGAAAAGTTCCCAGGAGATAAAATAGTGCTGAGCTGATTCTTAATATTCCCATATTAGCTCATTCTGAACATACAAAACATTTGCAAAGAAGGAAAAACATCTAAATCTGAGTTCTAACTGCAGTGTAATACACCAGTCACTCAGCTCCAGCGTTTTGCTGTAATCCTTTTCCCTATGAATACTTTTCCTTTCTTGACAGAACTTGCTATCACCAGCTAGATTTTCAGGCTGTTAAAATTGATTAAAAATGATAACAGGATACTTGTTAAAGTTATTTTTCCCCCTCTTTTTACTTCTAATATGGAACTTCAAAAGTCTTCCAAACAATGAGTCATATAGCTAAAATTGCACATACCTGGCCCGAAGATTAATATATTAATGAACAGTGAGAGATGACAATAATACACTCAAATAGGGGAAATATGAAGTAGAAATCTCTGCTTTATTCACCTTGATTTATTCCACTAAATGATATGATATATAGGCAGTGTATACACCCGAAAAGCCAGAATATGTTTTCTTCAATGGAGAAGAATGGCTGAACTATGTATGGGACTGTTTTACCTGCTTCACACGTTATTCAAGTATATACTGTGTGGTATCACAATATGTGTGAAATATTTAAGCATCCAAAATTGCTCCTTGAATACCATTCCTGTAAGTCCTGAGTTATTACTTCTCCACCCTGTTGATTTGTGCCCCTTTCCTTGTCGCCTTCCCCGAATATGACTTAGTAGGGCTCTGTGAGTGCATCTGAGGCACAGACAGCTATTACAGGAAAAAGATCTGTGACTGCGTAGTTGCTGCCTTTCTTTTTGCACATCCATGGGCCACCAAACGTTTCTCCTAGTGAACTATGTCAGAGGAGGTGCTGTGTTTTAGATTAAATGCACACTTGAGACGCTTTGTACACCCGAACTAAAATTACCCCAGAACGCTTGCAATTTTCAGACTTAAAAATTTCCCCTTTCTCTCTTTTCAATTTAACAAGCCATCCTTCATATATTTCCCTTTTTCTCAGTTGCATTTGTGTCCATCCAACACCAAATGTTTAACTCTCAAAGCAGTTATGTTTCACTGGTGGACGATAGGTATCTCTGTAACACTGTCAGTATGAAATCATAGAATCAACAAGTTTGGTAAAAACCTACAAGATCATTCAGTCTAACTGTCCACCTATCACCAATAGTTCTCACTAAATGACTAAATGACTTGCAGAGCTAAAAGAGGTATAAAAGTATCACTGTTATAGAGTCTGACATTATGAAAGGGGGATTTGAAAGGAACTTCCTGGAACGGACAGAAATATAACCTTTAATGTTTAGGGAATATTCTCTCCTCATAACTTATAGGCCCCCAAATGCTTCCTCAGCCCATGCAGTATCTAATCCGGAGTGCAAAAGGACAAAAACAAGAAAGCATACATTGTGTCCTAGGAATAAATCAACAGAAATTATCACCAATGTTCTGGGACCTTGTCAGCAGAAAGCATCTGTTAGGCAATAGTATCCAGATGATTTTTAGGTATGCATGATGTGAGCTATAAATAAAAATAAAATAAACACACACACAAAAACAACAACACAGCTCTCCCCATTTCTTCATCCTGTGTGGAAGATTCTTTCTTCATGCCAGATATGAAGAGGGTTTTGAAGCTGAGAAGATCAGATGAGCAAGCGATGAACTGAGTGGGACTAACTAAAGAGTGGGGCAAGAATGCCTGGATGTGAGTGGGATAAGTGTGTGCAGACACAGCAGGACCATCCAGGTAGAGTTCAGAACATGGGGTGGGAGAGGTTGAATGGCAGCTCAGATTACAAAACAGAATAAGGGAGGTGCCTTGGAAGGGAAATGATCCAATGGACCATCTCAGACCTGATGTTTCAGGTCTTTCACCTCTCCTCCACTGACAGCAGCTGTCTAACCACCTCCATGGAACTCCCTGGCCTGTTGGCCCTTCCCACAGAGGATGACAAACCATCACTGCCACCAGTTTCTCTGCTGGCACAAAGCAGAATCCTTCGTAGCAGATCTAGAAGTTTTGAACTGCATGGAATGTGTATAAAGATATCAGTTTCAGCAGAAAGGACAGACATCTTGGTTTTCTGGTGATAGCAGCTATAGAATACAAACTTGATTTGCATACAGAAGACGTGGGAAGAATTAAGCATGTGGCTGGAGAAATAAAAGGACTGTTTTTTGCTGTGCAGGCTGCTCTGGCTATTTGAATTGTATCTCTGCTCTCAACCAGCAAAACCTTTTTTTACACAAAGCAAGTCTCTTAAACTTCTCTCATGCTTTGTTTTCCCCTTGCATTCTGGGTTCTTGATTGGAGATCTCATGGTCTGATTTACACAAATGCTGAGTACTAGGCCACTGGCTGCTGAACACTGAGCTTACAAAGTGCTGTATAAACCCTAGTGTTCTGAAAATAAACAGATCTCAAAACATCTTACATTGGATGCCTTTAATGTATGAACACTTGAGTGTAATCTCCGCATGTATCAGAACATCACTGGCATTCTGAGAGCTGTATCATTCTCTCATAACATAAAATAAATTTGTTAATGCTTGTACAGTTCTCACATTACAGTGAAGAGTATCTCAGAAAACCTCATGAGGATATTAATATTCTGTCTTCAGAGCAGGGTCTGAGTGACAAAGAGAGATGGAGTACTGAGTTAGTTGTTCAGTGATTGAGTAAGGTAGGATCCTTTAAAATAAAAATATATTCCTACTAACTAATGTTTGCATTTTATTGCACAGCCACAAAGAAAAACTAAAGTGGCATGTATAACCAGAACTGTGACAGTTCCTAATTTTGTTTTCCTGCTTTTGTTTCTTAAAACTTTTCTGTTAGTACAGTCTCACTTAAGCACCTATGACGCTATATAAGGAAAAATTATGCTACTTGCACAATCAAAAAGCTGTTTTCAAATATGAAGAACAACTTTCTTACTTTAGAAATGATGCAGAACTAGTTATTGAATATGTAATTATTATGTTCTTAAGCAAAACAGAGCCTACATTTGTAATTCCCGCCATTCAGAGTGTGTTGGAGGAGCCTCTCCTTTGCACAGTGTCTGTGTTTTGATGTGCACATCTGGTTTGCACTTCTCTTTCACTAACTGCTGCATAACTAGAACAGAGTAGTAAAACAGAATAGCTTATCCTCAGAAAGCACATTCAGATAGGTTTTATCTGCGTGGTTCAGAGACCCTAAACAGATTTGTCTTAACCTGGCAGATGGAGTGTGTCTCCCATTGTTAATGTGATGGTAAATTTCATTCATGTACGAAAAAAAAATATTTCTTAAAAAGATGGAATTCTCCTGAATGCTGAGAAATCTCCTTTTTATGAACAGTTGTGCTTGAAATAAAACTGAAATCCCAACAGCTGGGTTTGTGTTAAGCATTCATTAATTTTGAGCGTTCTGCACCTGATGTTCTTAGGACACCAAATCCAGAGCTTATGATAAATTGCTATAAAGACAGCAAATGGGATAAAATGGAATATCCTCTTCTCAGTGGATCTCATGAACAGTACAGATCTTATACTGCTCACAGCTCGTGGAAGATCTGTCTGTTTTATAATAGTCCAACCTTTAGTTGCCACCCTGCCTGTCCCTTTGAGCTAGAGAATAGTGATACCTTTATTTTGTCAATGATCTCCTTCTTATGCCACAGAGATCTCCAAACATCCTAAATACCTCACAAAAATTGAATTACACAGCTAACCTGCTTTGTGTTCAGAAACCATCGTACTCATGTAAGGATAATCAAGGTGTGGAAAACTTCAGCCCTTTTCAATTGAACTTTTCAGTGTACACCATAAGGAGAAGCACATAATTGACACCTGCCTAACAAAGCCAAGTTGACAGCACCTATAGAATGGAAATAGAATCTGGCACAGTGCACATTAGGGTGTTAAATATTTCTGAATACATTGGAGGAAAACAGTAGTAAATTAGCCTCACCTGGTTACAGCTAATTAGACTTGCAAAGCCACTTAGCAGCAGTTCTCAATTGCGAAGGTTATAAGCACATAAATTTTAAGTGACTGTGCCACTGCTCATTATGATTTTATGTGACGGTAGCCTCAGTGTGATTGAGTATGCACTTAGCTAGTCAGATGTGAATGCTTCTGAGCTGCGCTGTTTGGATTGTTAATTGTGCACAGTTTTACTGTCATATATAGGTAAACAGCTTATCCATAAGGAAACAGAGGCAGTCAATTATGCTGACAATTCACACGTAAAAGATGATTTAAGGCAGACAAATAAATTTCCCATTTATGCTGTGGGTGGAGTATGGTATTCCTGTACCATGGTAAAAAGCTGGAGAACCTAGAGGAGATTTGGGTATATCCAGGTGGTAACGGTATATTATAGGATCATGTTGATAGCCATAAGGGCTGGAAAACGAATGGATCAGGCACAGTCAGCTGAAATAATAATCTAATTAAATTATCTTCTACTTAAAGACCATTAAAAAAGCAGACTAATCTTTAACATTTTCATTTTCCATCAGGATCCAAATGTCAGATCAACAGATCTTCTTTTTGGTGTTTTCTTTTTTTCTTATGTATTTCTTCATGATAGTTTGTAGAATTTGGTCCACTGAAATTATTATACTATTCTGAAATATCTGTTAAACTAAAACATAAGTTACTCACCGTCATTTTGAAAGTCAGCATTTTTAATTTAATTGATACCTGTAGGATAGTGTAAAACCATAAAGAATAAATCTGTTTTATTAGTATGCATTTAGAGCAACAAAGGCTATCTGATTTGTAATTTCCTGTGATTCTTATGAGACTTATGTGGGGAAAACTCCTTTTCAGAACTGCCTGCACTTGACTGCTCCCAGAAGAACAATGCTTACTGATATCAGGTGTTTTTAAAAAAATTATTGATCTGCTCAGTATGAAGTCCTTTCATCTTCACATTTTATTTTTTCTGTCTTTTTGCTTTCTTCCGGCTTTGTATTTAGTACACGGTGTGGACTGCCCTGTGGGTCACCTGGAATGTGTTCATTATCTGCTTCTATTTGGAAGTAGGCGGGCTCTCTAAGGTAGGTCATTTACCGTTTTTAGGTTTACGGGAGGGTGTGTTAACAACAGAACTCTTAGATTTTAGAAGGTTGGAACCACAGAGGAAAAATGTTGCTGTTTGAAATACAATCAGATATTTGATGCTGGACTCCAATAAGAACTGCAGTGTTTTTGTGAATTTGTCTATGATAGCAAACAGCCATGGTTTTGAAGGACATAGTGCAAAGTATTGGAATTAACGCTGTCTTCTGAAGTAACATCTGAAAAAAATACATTGTTCCATAGAAAATTTCAGCTTCTTTTTGATCCTTGGAAGACAGACAATTCTATTTTGGGTGAATTATTAACTGTATATAAAAAAAAATCAGAATTTCTGAAGCTGCTTTGAAAGCCGCTGAAGAAAATTACTAAGAAAGTTAATGTAATAACTTGTTGAGGAAATTGCTCTCACAAATGACAAAGAATGACTTTTTTCACATTTGAATAAAACTTTCCTTTACATGGAACGTAATGCTCTAATTCATTGAGTTCTTATTCAAACTTCTGATTAAAGCAAAAGTATTTGCTGGAATTATCAAGATATGTGTTGCACTCATAAAATGTAGCGCTTATGTTAGCATGGGTTATATTTAGCATTGTATCTACAGCAAGTTCCATATAATATTTGTAGATTATTATCAAATTTTTATGCATACATTATATTAATCTTTGTTTACTACTTCCATATTTAAATGGTTTTGGGTACGATATGCCCCAAGCACAAGCACAAGTAGATACTGGGATTATTAGTAGAATAAATGTCTGTGCTACTAATAATAGGTATAACAGTATTGATTAAACTACTGTTGATGAATACAATGAGTTTTTAGATTTTTTTTCCTTTTTTTGTTTGTTTTGTTTTGTTTTCCTGAGGAACAGCTTGATTTCAGTTTAATTTTTATGAATCTAATACATTAAGATCTTTAATCTGTTCTTGAGAAGGAATGATGAAAACTTCTGTCACCTACCATCCCAGTGTCAAACACCATATATGTAACTTGGTCGTCTTTTTTTGAAGGATGATGTTTTAGAAAAGGCATCACAGAAGTTCTGTATATATATTTCTTAAAAACTGTTTTTAAATTCTAAAATCCTTTGTCAAAAATGAAATTTCACATATACCCAAATATTTTGGCCCAAATCCCCACCAGTGTTTCTGGTTCTAAGAGTCTGGTAAATCATATGGGAGGAAGCTGGTGGGGATGGGTAAGCTGAGAACAGGGAGTCTATATCTACTAGAAACATATATGGTCTAGGTCAATAAGCTTATGGTCAAGGAATTCACTTATGTCTTGATTCTTGCTCCAAATAATATGTTACTTTATATAAAGAGGAACATTTGCATAGAAACGACTGAAAGGAGCCTGCCCCGCAGTAACTACAGTACAGTGATTAGAGCAATCTCCTAGGAAATAAATGAAATGGATTCAAGTCTTCTCAGGTTTGAAAAGGAAATAAGCCTGGCTGTCCTCCAGGTGGGCTATTTTAAACACAAGATTAATGAATAAAGGCCTCATTTTTAAGTACCGCGTAGACAGCTTAATATCAAGCTCCTTTTTCACTTCTGTTACAGAGCTGCAAATGGAATGTCAATTTTTTTTCAAAGGCAAAAGAAATAGTATTTGATGAGAAATAAAATATGTTTATAACTAATTTTTTGTTTGTTACTTTAGGTTTTTAATTGTGCTTTTAATTTCAGCTGTGCAATCCCATCAACACTGCAGCAATTAAAAAATGCCCACATGAAAAATGAAAATTGCTTATATTTTCCATGTACCACTTTCATGAAATCGAAAGCATAATTTTTGGTTTTAACTGCTCTGAGTGAAAGAAACAAATCTGCTGTTGTAACATGACCTTTTAAACTCCCACTGCAGGATGACAGATTTGTACATCCAGACACCTTTTAGCCATTGAGCTCATTAGTTCTGTGGATATTATTCTACATCTCAAAATGAAAATCTTTTAATTATCGCATTCAAGAGTACGGACAGTATGAGACATATAAGCATCAGCAAAATTCTCAAGGATTAAGAGGCAAAAAAAAACATTCCCTACAGTATATCTGAAAATGGGCTTTAATTAAGTCTTACCTGATACAATGCTTAAAGCTGTCATTTTGAAGTTTTATGTATTCTTCTTAAATAAGGGCAAGAACTTCTAACATGTACACACCAGCTTTCCATCACTAGCAATACATTCTTTAATGTGCTTTTTACTTTACAAAGAAGACTTCATTTGTTTAGTGTGCACAGTAGATATTTCTATCATTTATCTCCCTCTACTATTTCAGATCAAGTATGAAAACCGTTGTTTCTTTGTATTTATCATTCACTTTGCCAACTAATACTTTTTTTGAGGGATCAGTTTTTTACTTCTGGTTTTATCGCCTATTACCATGAAGTTTTCTTGCCCATATTATTGCCTTTTATCCAAATAAATGTATGGCAGCACTCCAGATGTTTCTACAACATTCTTTTCCTGTTGTTTTCTATATGTTACCTAAGCAGCTGGGAAATGTGCATTATTATTCTGTGATGTTTCTGTCTGTATTTCCATGGTATGCTCCTTGAGCATAAACTTTGTCTCTTTCTAGATAATTTTATGTTCAGATTTCAAGGTTGAACTGTCTGTCAGCTATGTCTGTTGCTGCTTTTGATCAAGGATTTGCATGACACAGACATATATTCAGTAGGAAACTGCTTCTAAAACAGCTTTCATTTATTATCTGTTCCTTCATTTTTGATGTTGAGTTTAGGCGAATGTGACTTCTAATGTCTGTGGCACTAACCTCATTATACTTTCCACTGTATTCAAAGGAAATTTTGCATCTCTTAAATAGTAAAAAGTTCTTTTTCACATACATTTTCTAGTAAAATTTACTTTTATCAATGCGTCCTTATTAAACTAAAGACAGAAGTATCGCCTAATTTTTGTATAGCTCTTCAGTTATTGGATAAAATTGTAACTGTTAAAATTAATTATTTATTCCATCTGAAGGAAAAAATGGACTAATAAATTACTTGCTACAGATGCTGTGGGAATAAAATCTTAGTGCTCTTTTCTAAACAAAATATTATGCAACAGAATGAGGGCTATCCGTGTGGACTTTATTCTGTGTTCTTCTGGAATCCACTTGACCTCCTTTGGTGCATGTCGTCAGTCATTAACTATTGTACAATTATATCTAATATCTCAAATTGAGCATGTTAAGCACAAAACTAATGACATTTTACAAATAATAGAGATCCAAAGGTATACTTGGGGCTTGTAGTTGTCTTTTTTTAAGAGCTTTTTCACTTTTTTTTTTGTTGTTGTTGTTACTGTGGTTAACTGTGGAATGAAAACAAGCACTGCTTGAATTTAGGCTAACAGTATAAAACATAGTACACTAATATATACTAATGTGTGCAAAGTGAGAAAATTAAAGCAATTATTTTGGCTTAATTAGCATCATAATTACTTCTACGGTATAGCCTGTTACAAGAAGTGTATGAACAAAGTTGGCAGCATCTATAGATCAGCAAAAATAAGTTCTAAAATTAAGAAAAAATAAATGAAAGTAAAATCTGTTTGGAAAATTAGTAGGGAGGGTGGAAAGTAGAGTAGAATTCCTTAGTCTAAGAAAAGACTGAATGTAAAGCCTGAAAAATCTACTCAACTGTTAACAATTCTTATGTGGAAGATCAGTTGTTTTCATATCTGATGGGAAGAGAGTCAAGAAATAATTTGCTGAACATGTAGAAGACTTGCTTGAAATTTTAAGGGAAGACTTCTGGTAATAAATAAACTGAGTAGGATCTAGTGCTGCTACAAAGCTCCATCACTGGATGTGAAGTAAAGGAATATTGATCCAGGATGATCTAGAGCACTCTTTGTCCCAGCTATTTTTAATCTTTAGAAATTACCCTCTGTTAAGCTAAAATTCCAAGTTAATGTCCATGGTAATTTTTTGAGTGGGAGTGCAAATTTGAAAAAATGAGTGGAAGTTGAAAGTGTAATACCTCATCTTTAATCAGCTGATTAGACTGTCATTGTAACTGTGGCTGGAATGACATTCCAATTGAGGAACTTGAGGTGGCTGTGGCTTTTCCCTTCAGAGCATGTGTGTGTGGACACAGAAGATGAGGAAGCCCAATGGAGGCTGCAAGGTGGCTGATAGCAGTTCTTGAGCATGTATGATGGGATTTTAGTTTTCAGCTACGTGACACCAAGTGGGAAGCAGAGCTGTTATTGCTCTTCAGTCCTGGCAGAGACTAGGCGTATGAAACACAGAAGACTCGCTTTCTTTGTGTTCTGTTGATGGATTATTAATTGAACACAAATCACTGCCACTCACAGTAAAATATTCTTCAATAAAGAAAATGTGATAGTGGTAATAGTACATTTCCTCCTTGTTGGATGTGGTGCCATACTGTCGTGGACAACTCAGCTGAAAATTTCTTCCCACACACCTTTGACTTATATTAACTGCTCTTGATCAATATCTCTCTTAGGCCTTGAGAGAGACTACATATCCAGTATTCTTATTATTCTCTTAGCCTACATGTTTCTATATATGTCCATTTTTTCTATATGTTCTGTATGTTACAGGTGATATCATTACTTGCTACTAGCTGTAATATGCGCAGTAATGGAATACACTAAAGCAGGGGATGAATGTAGCTGTAGGCAATCTCCAATTTCTAGACATTACACATGACTAGTTTAATGACAGTAGTTAATTATAATCTTTTCTTAGTTCTAATAAAACTCATTTTGCAGAAATTAAACCTGATGAAAGGAAAGTTTTCATTTCCTTAAAATTCGCTCCTTCTTGCTTCTTCCTCATTTCCTCTTAAATCCTCTAGAGTTTGTAGAATTATTGTTTTTAAAATTATGTTCCAGAATCTTCTCAGATATGGGGAAATTAGAAATGCTAATTGAGCACCATTTAAGTCAACAGATGAAAACTAATATAAAGGAAAAGAAAACCAGGCCC